TCAATATTGACTCGATGGCACCTAACAACAACAACAACAGATGCACAGCTAGACATCCATCCATTCACAGTTTGTGCATGAACAATTGAATGGTATTGGTTCCATCACATTGTGTCACCATTCTCATTATCTACCGATATCTTATCACCATGAATTTAGGTTCTCCCTATCTGTGCATTCGATTAAGTTTGTCTGTTTGAACTCACATAGATAGATCTCTACCAGAGTGTCATGCTAATTGGGTCAACAATTGTTTGTGTTTGGAGTTCTGGTGTTTTATTCCACACATTTTGCTACTCTGTCCAGAACCTTCTAGTGTGATCCCGTTCAAAGCAGTTCGTAGTGGTAGCTGGGCACTGTCTAGTTCATCTGGTCTCATAGTTGTGGAGACTGATATTCACATGTTCCATTAGTCCACTGGACAAGTTGATTCCAAGCATCTTCAATTCTTATCCCTCTTCTCTTCTGCACGCGGAGAGACCAATAGCTACACCTTAGATGGCTGCTTCCAAGCTTTTAAGAGCCCAGGCGCTATTCACCAAAGTAGGATGTGAACATTGTTTTTGTGGACTGTGTTATGCCAATTGACTATGGAAGATGTTTGATAATATCTAAGAAATTTTCTTCATTTTGCCCGCTATATGCTCTAGCACATTCACAGGAAAGGTGAATACTCATGTACCAATATCCTCTTTCACACTCTTGTGTATCTGTGGGACATATAAATGAATATATTCTACTCTTCCTGCCATGCCCATTAAGTATGTGTCTCTTCCCATGTATGTATCCGCAGAATAATGTTGTTCCAAGGTTCTTGTTAAGTGCTGTCAAGTCAATTCCGACTCATGGTGATCCTGTATAGAATTTTTGAGGAGTGGTTGGTAAATTTGAACTGCTGACCTTATGATTCAAACTAACCTTGCGCCGAGTGCTTACCCTGGAACATCATACCATATTTACCTCTATCCCCTTTAGCCCTTGTATACCTCCCTGTGTTTTCAATTGTCTTCAGCATTCTTCTACCACCCTCTTGTATTTTGGCCTCCCCATTTCTTGTATATTGCCTGCCCCTGTCACTTGAGCTAACCTGTTTATCCTCTAGCCAGTGAATTATTCTCCCCTCCCTCTCCCTAGTATAGAAACCTATTCTTAACCTTTTGTAATAATGGTCTCATACAATATTTGTCCTTTTGTGAGTGACTAATTTCACTCAGCATAATGTTCTCCAGGATCAT